TTTCTTTGAACTCATGGTGACCCTCCTGTCTCAGTCTACTGAGTGTTGGGATTACAGATGTGCACCACCATGCCTTGTTTATAAATTCTTTTTAACCTGTTATGGTTGATATATTGTGTCAACTTGACAAGTTTAGAAGTGTAACTAAGAGGCTCAGCAGGGAGCTAGGGTTCTTACTTTGTAAATATCCTCAGTCTGTGAAAGAACAGGGCACAGAGGTAGTGTGAGTGCTACACCTGCTGTGGGTGGGGGTTACTTGCTTACAATGTAGTGGAGGAGAATGGGCTTCTCCTCCCCTTCCCTTTTTGTTTTGACTGCTTTTGTTAACTACTGCCTTGAAGTATTGCCCAGGTGCTATGCCATCCTGCCTTGGAGTCAGCTGATTATGGACTGAAACCTCCATAAGGAGTGAGCTAAATAAATTTTCCTTCCTTCATTTGGGATGTCAAGTATTTTGTCCTAGTAACAAGAGAAAAGTAACTAATACAGAATTTGGTGCCAGAGGAATAGGGTTGTCGCTGTGGCTATATCTGACCATATGGTTCAACAACCTTTGGGAATGACTTGTGGGAGGAGTTTGGAAAGGTTCAGAGATGTTGCTTGAGAGAGTAGCCCTGGAACACCTTAGGTCATTCTGTATGGGAGATTCTGGTCAGAGCTTAGAAGACCAGAAAACTAGTAAATATCAGGCTCAGGAGGTTTCTGCTAGGAAAGACTGCATTGGGTGCTCTATATGATAGGTGTTATGGCTTGGCAGAAAGTTTATCTGCATTTTGCTCTATGGACTTTGCCTGATACTAAAATTAAGAGCAGTGGACTAATTAACCTGGCAGAAGAAATTTCTAGGCAGTAGAGGCAGTTGAGGCAGTGGGATGGCTATTATTGGGGGCTTTTAGTTAGACTTATGTTGTGAATCAAGAACAAAGAGCCCAGGAAGATGATTTAAAACATTGTGAGTTTGGCCAGAAATGAAGCTCCAGTAAAGCTGTAGACTGTAAAGACAGAGCTGAGATCTCCATTGCTCAGAAGAAACAAAATAGAAAAGTTGGGTGAAGGCATCACAAAAAGCAGCAAGTCTTCAACGCTTACAGCCTCAAAACTGCAAAAGTGGAAGACATTGCTTTGAGGTAAAAACTGCAGAGTACAATGTTCCAGAATGGCAGAAGTCACATCATATTCCAGTTGTGGCAGCATAGAAAATTTGTTCTTCAGAATTAGATTCAGAGTGCCCAGTGATTCAGGTACTCCATCCCTAGCCAAGAGAGAGGGGAGCCTTGCTACTGCTCCAATTGGCAGCAAACCTCGGCATCGTCCATGTGGTAGTGGTGTTAGGTGCATACAGAATGCAAGAATTCTGAGGTTAAAAAGGCTTTCACCTTGATTTCAGAAGGCCTGGGAGGTCAGGAAGTGTGCTCCTGAGAAGGCAGTGTGTGAAGCCAAAGGTGCAGTGGAGACCCCAGAAGTTTTGAAAAAACAAAAACATAGATCATCTAAGAAAAGCTGCAAGAAGAGATAAAAACAGGCCTAAGAGAAAAGTTGTGCAAGCTGTAACCAACAGAAGTGCCACAGGAGTGCAACCACTTAACACTTTGGAGCTCACAATTTGTCACAGATTGCTTCAGACACTAGAACATGCAACTCCAGTACTTAATGTTTGCCTTGCTGGATTTTGGACTTGCCTTGATTCCAATCCTTTGTGTTCCCCTGTTTGTAACTTTTGGAATGAAAATGTTTATCTTGTGCCATTGCATGTTGGAAGTATTTAACTTTGTTTTTATTTGTACACAGGCTTGCAGATAAGAATTTGTCTTACATTTCTAGGCTTTGGCTTTGAACTTTTCAGCAGTGCTAAAACTGTTGGATCTTTGGCAATTCTTGCAGATGCCTTTCACATAAGGCATGTATATGAGTCTTTGTGGGCTCAAGGGTAAAACATTATGGTTCTAATGTAATATAATATTTATAGACATAATGTTGGTTCTTAAGGATTGTTAAACCTGTGTTATAATGTTCAAGTAGTGAAATGGTAAAAAATAAGCATGTCTTGTATCTGATAATTGGTTTAAAGAAATGCATCTGCTTGCCAGGTTGAGAAGGGGTTGATTGTTATGGTTAACACATTGTGTCGACTTGAGCAGTTTAGAAATATAACTAAGAGATTCAGCAGAGAGCTAGAGATTTTACTTTGTAAATATCCTCAGTCTGTGAAAGAGCAGGGCACAGAGGTGGTACTGTGGGTCGGGGTAGCCTGTTTGCAATATAAGGGAGAAGAGGTTTGTTCTTCCCTTTTCCTTTTGTTCTGGCTGCTTTTGCTGGCTACTGCCTTGAAGTATTGTCTTGGTGCCATGCCATCCTCTCTTGGGGTTAGCTGATTATGGACTGAAACTTCCACAAATAGTGAGCTAAATAAATACACTTTCCTTCCTTCATTTGGGGTATTTTGTGTAACCAAGACATAAATCTCTCTCTCTCTCTCTCTCTCTCTCTCTCTCTCTCTCTCTCTCTTTCTCTCTCCCTTCTTTCTGTGTTCTTTTTTTTCTTTGCATGTGTGCATTCATTTGGGTAAAAGGCCTGCAAAAGTACCCACTACATCAGCCTTCCTATGATGGTACTGGGAAAAATGGTGTCACTATGCTAGGATATACCTTGTAGTTGATCATTATAACTCCTTTTCTCCTTTGGCATGATTTATTTCAGTGTATACCAAATAATTTTTGTTTTCAAGTCAACTCCAAATCTCAAAGTCTTGAGAATGGTTTATAATTATATTTTTGTTCTGCTGACAGGAAATTTTGAAATACATAGACGAACATACTGGAATAAATCACTTAAGATGTAGAAGATAAATTTACAGATAAGGTTTTGAAAAATACAGATAAATTTGCAGATAAATTCAGAAACTGTATGAAAAGTGTTTTCTTTTAAAATTACATGTTTTAGGGGCTTGGGATGTGGCTCAGTGGTAAGGTTTTGTCTTGCATGCACAAGGCCCTAGGTTCAATCCCCAAAGCCCCCAAGTAAAATAAAGTTATATAATTTTATATAAATGGCTTGAAGTTATAGTTCTTTACTTTTTATATGAAAATACAAGAAAAACACCAACTATTGTTTTCAAGGTTCACATTTAAAGTTATTTACTACTTCACTTTGGATCCTTTATCTAGTATTTATTTGAAATTCTGTGCCACTCTGTACATTCTTTAACATACAGCCCATTTAAAAACTATTTCTATGCATAAAGAGTACTGTGTGATTAATTCTTGGATTGTTCTTGGTATAAATTTATCATTAAATATTTTATGATAATACAATATCAAGTAACATGAAATTTAACTACTTGTCTTCTTAACTACATATAACAGAGAAAGAGAGATTAGAACAATTGAATGGTTTGGAACAATATTGTGATTTGCTTATACCAATAATGATACAGTTAATGAGAAGTATGAAATGTTTCTATTAGCCACAGTACACGTCCTTGTGTTACAGTAAACTATAAGCCTGGTCCGGTCATCTCAGCTCTGTGGACTTTATGATCAAACAGTACCATGTTTGAGCGCAGAGTCTAGCCCGGTGTTTCATTTGCCATGTTTGATTGGATTTTCCGAAGTGCCTTGGTTCCTAATTCCACACTGCTATTGTGTGGATCAAATAATCCCTGGTCACAAAAATACTCCGAGGAGTGACTCCCCTGGCGTCCAGGTTATGAGTGTGGTCAGTCATCCCACATGCCTTAGGGATGAGCTATCTGCTATAAGAGATTTCCTTTTCAAGTTTGTTATCTCCCCCTGCAAGTTTATAATCATAAATAAAGGCCATCATAACAGAGAAAATGTATACTGAACTCTTGCATAGCACTGAAGTCAGGTACCTTTTCTCCTGCCTTTGAAAAAATGATTACTCTTTTAAAACAGAATCAATTTTACAATATATTCTTAAAATTGCAAATCTCTCTCATACTGACTTCTTCGGTATTGAACCATAATCAAATATTTTAAACTGTGCTTTTTGCCATGCATACATTCGCTATGCCAGTTTTATGTCTTTTGTAGTTCATTACACTATGAAACATGTTAGAGAAAAAATTAAAGATGATTCTTTAAGGCTTTCCCCTTTTTCTTTCCAATTTCTCATTATGCCCTGGACAGTGAAATTACAGTTTTTAGGCAATGTAAGTCATTTTGTGACAGTGGCTTTCAGAGGTGTAGGCTGCGGAGTGTGGCTCAGTCGCTGGCTCCCTGGAACCGGGACTGTCACCTCCCAGATTCCCGGCACCCTCTGAGGTCCAGTCCTTGGCGACCTGCAGACCAAAGGGACCCGCTGGGTTGGGAAATACCGACTGGTGCGGTTCCAGCTAGAGAAGGCTGCGCACGGAGAACGGAGTCAGAGAGCCTGCCCGCCGGGCTCTTTCTTCCCCCTTTTGCTCCCAGGGTTTTACAAGCGTGGGGCAGGCAAACAGACTCGTTCTTTCCAGTCACTCTACCCGGTAACCGGATCGGAGCTGCGAAATCAACTCGCGAAAGCGTCCAGAGACTGCAGCCAGACCGCCAGCCTGGAGCAAAAGCACCTTCTGTGCGTGGCTGCAGGAGCCGCTGGCCAGGCTGACTCCAGGCGCTGGCTAAGCGTGGCCGCATCCCGCCACCTCCCGCACCTCCCAGGCTCCCCCAAAAGCCTGAGACCGGGAAGCTGGAGGACGAGGAGAATGCAGCCCGCGTTTGCGCTCCATGGCACCGCTGCAAAGCCCTGCAGCTTTGGGAGCCCCGAGGGAGCGATGGCAGGGCCCCGAGCCAGGATTCCTGGGAAGGGGCCGGGGCCCAGCCACCCCACCCCGACAGCTGTCCAGCCCCTGTAATTCATTGGCTTCCCCCACGCTGCTTCCAAATACCACCCCAATCCAGTTTAGCCCCTCTGCCCCACCCTCGCTGACCGAATAAGGCCATGCAGTGTTCGGGGGACCTATTTAATAGGCTCGGCTCTTGGGGGCACAGCACACTCCAGGGAGAGAAGGCCGGAGCAGTGCAGCGCCCGGAAGACCACCATGGCCAAGGAGTGGGGCTACGCCAGCCACAATGGTGAGTGCGGGGAGCTGCGGCCCCTGGTCCAGGCATTGCACAGAAAGTAGGTGACTTCTGGGAGTGTGCCGAAAATGTGGGCGCAAATGGGGTAAGATCTAACATTAACTGTGTACTTTCCTAGCCCTTTTGTCTGAATGTCAGTTCTTTCTGTCTCCTATGGAGTTACTACGTTTCCATTGGAGGAAATTGAGTGGAGGAAGGTTTAGTGACTTGCCCAGGATCACACTGTCTGTGATTGAGAAGTCAGACAACCTGAGGTCCAGGCTGATGGTCCTTTACTCTGTGATGCTATGCAAAGCACTTAGCCTTTCTCAGTCTGGGGCAAAAGTAACTTCTGGTGTTGGTATAAGACTCTCTATTCTGCCTACCCCTCTGTTGAATCTGTGTGGAAAGGAATACCTGCCTGCTCTGAAAGCTACAAAGGGACAGATATGTGGTCAGTGAGTGAACTGACCAATTTCAAAAATAAGCCTTTCAAGCCATATCCTGAGCCCGCAGGGGAAATAAATGGAATTAAGGACAAGTACTACATCACCAACAAAACTACAAAGAAGTTTCAAATAGCAAGTCTTGTGGTGCCCAATCTGAACTTTTTAAAAATCATGGTCTGTGTATTTTGTTGCTTGTCCATTAGAGAATGGCCTTGGATTCTACCACCAAAGAAATAAATACCCTCAACTTTATTTTTTAGGTCCTGACCACTGGCATGAGCTTTACCCAAATGCCAAAGGGGACAATCAGTCGCCCATTGAGCTGCATACCAAAGACATCAAGCATGACCCTTCTCTGCTGCCATTCTCAGCATCTTATGATCCTGGCTCTGCCAAGACCATCCTGAACAACGGGAAGACCTGCAGAGTCGTGTTTGATGACACTTACGACAGATCAAGTAAGTATAATGCTTAGGAAGAGGCACATAGACGTTTTTCATGTCTATACAGGCAATGTGTGACTCCAGACACAGTAACAGAATTAGTGGGAAGAGGGAGCATTTCATCCCTGAAAGCAGAGATGACATTCTTCTTTGCTTCAGATGTAGAGAAATATCTTTGTGTATTGAAGAGGAGTGTCTCACTCTCTAACTTTGGTCTCTTCATTGCCACAAATGGTCCTATGCCCAGAACAAAATCTGGCAGTGCATTCCTGAAGTGGAGCTTGAGATGACAATGGCAACGAATCCCAGTTCTGATGGCCAGTAGCTGAGGACTCCGGAGCTCCTCAGCCACAATCTGGAGTGAAGCTCCCACACTCAAGTATGGCACAGATTCCACCCTGCAAAGCAAAAAATAAAGCAAAGAAACAAAGTAGGCACTATCTTCTCCTTGGGCCTGGAAGGAGGCCAGTCCAGGGGATAGAAAAGGCCATTGTATGGGTCCAGATGCCTTGATTTCTTGCTTTCCTGGGGTTCATCTGACCAATCCTTTCGTTGAGTGTTTTTGAAGTATCTACCATTTTTTTCAGCCATATTTATGTGTATGAGACTGGAAAAATGAAGCTGTTTTTAAAAATTAACCCATGCTAGTGAGTAAATCAGTGAAAAATTTAAAAGGTTGATTAGAAATGCTTTATTTCACTATAAATGAGATAAAAGGAAAATCATCCTTTGAGAATTTGATACTTGCTGTGCAACAAGACAACTTCCTGTTACCTTGTTTTGAATGGAGTTAAAATTATCCTTATTAACATACATAAGTGAATATTCTTAATTCTGCTGTGGTAAAGCATGCAAGTCATAACTCCTACCTACTGGAAAATTCCAGGAAAGGAATACAATATAATGTTATATTTTTTTTAACAGTGTTTTTACACTGCTATGCCCCTTCCAGCCATCTACATCAAATTCTATTTTGAATGAGAAAAACAAAATTATACACTATTATTAAGTTAAACTGCATGTAAATACCATTTTTGTAATGAAAATAGTTATTGGTGATTTCTTATAGTTTATTCTAACAATAAGTCATATGTCCATATACTAACTATTTCAAATGATTGGCCAGGAAAAATACAATAACCACTTAATTCCTTCATGACCAAACTCATACAGGCCTACCATTACTGCTTTAGAGATATACTGTACCTTCCCCATGCTGCTTATTAGGGTAGACGATCCTTTCCAAAATAGCTACCTTGAATTCTATTTTTGTTTATATTGCTAAATCTTAATTTCAGGGTTTCTCAAAGTTTCCAATATCCTTTTGAAGAGATTTAAACCTCTAAATTACTAACTAGACTAAATGAATTGAAATCAAGTTAAGTGGCAAAGTAAGATATTTATATACAATACTCAAATTAATGCTATTGAGATTTGCAATCCACAGCAATTGATTTCCTGGGAAATTATCAAATTTCCATTTCATCTGATTTGAATAGGCACACTCTTAATTAGATGTAGATCAAAGCTCTTGCTTGTCATCCTAAAGAAAAAAAATATAGTTGAAAAGCAAGAAATAGCAAAGGAAATCATGCTTGTACATGATTGTACAGCGCTTCCTATGGGCACCATTAAGGTGCATAATCTCAGTTAATCCTCACAGCAGCTCTGCAAGTGTGGAATTACTGTCACCTTCTTAGAGACGCAAAAACATTCAGAAAAGTGCAGCAACTTGTCTGAGATCACACATCTATTGAGGGGTGGAGCCAGGATTGGAACCTAAAAACTGTCCCCCTCTTCATAGTTTGGGTCTTCCCACTGCACCTCAGTACTGACCCACTGTTCAGGTGTGTGTATCCTTATTGTCCACTTTCACAGGTGTTAAAATTGCATTTCAATAATAATAAAGCAAGTCAATAAGATGAGAAAGAGAGCAAACTCATTTTTTAAAATATATCTTAAGGCTTCATTTTGGGAAGAGTCTTGTGTGCTTGGGAGTGGCTTCACCCTCCCAGCAGACTATCTATGTATCCTTCACCCGTCAAAAGCACCTGATTCAAGTAGTGGAGATCTCTGTAAAGGGAGTGTGAATTCGCTGACCTTGCTTATCTGAACCACAGTGCTGAGAGGCGGTCCTCTTCTTGGACCCTACCGACTTCGCCAGTTTCACCTTCACTGGGGCTCCTCCGATGATCACGGCTCTGAGCACACGGTGGATGGAGTGAAGTATGCAGCGGAGGTAGGAGGAACTGCTGTCATCCACTCTGAAAACAGAAAAATTAAGAGTAACAACCTCAGCAGCAAAGCAACATCCTTCCAGCGTGTTGTTATGGAAAGAACTGGAGTAGTTTAGCGTAAGGTGGAGCTGCCAAACTTTCTAGGTTAGACAGTAAAAGGGAGGTTGGTGGGATAGCATCATACATGAAGACTTCCGAGGTTATATAAAAGCAATTGGACAGCTGCTTAACAGAAAACAAGGTCAGAGTCCTGAATGGAACCAGAACAGTAAGGGTAGCTCACACATGGAATAGTGCTTCATGTGTTATCTCATCTGAGACCTTCAGCAACCTGAGATACTAAGCTACAGATGATGCAGCTGAGGCATAGAAAAGTTACATGGCAAAAGCACACAGCTGACAGAACTAGACGTGGTCATGTTCTTTACACCAGTTAGCCTCATCTTAACCATGCCCTGTGTTGCCTCTTTTATGAAAATAGAGTGCCTTTAAAACAACTTTTAATAATTCTGACCAAGGTTCATATACTAATGTTCAGAGAGCACATATATAGATGGATACAGGTACACATAATTGTATATGAACAGATTCTATTCTCTGTCTCAATTAACCCATTAAAGAAAAGCATAATTTATAGTTCAGATCAAAGCATCACATTATAAAGGGAGTAAGACAAGCCTCTTGCATGCTCTCTTTAGAAAGTCAAGCTACTTTGCTCTTTCCAAGCCAAGGTTTTGTCAACACAGGGGCTGAGCAGAGGCTGGAGGCACACAGCAACATTGTCCTAAGTGAAATCATTCGGCAGTATGATTGCTGGTTAAATCAAACCTTAGGGCACCCAAAGTGTTTCATTGTGACCAATCCATTTTTCTGCAGCCAGCCCACATAGTTAGTGGCAAAATAAATTGAGAATGCCTGCTTTGCACACATCATCCTCCAAAAATGGGAAAATTATTATTTCTTACAGATGTAGGAAAGGCTTTGACTTTAAACATTGTGCATGAAGTTGTGTCACTTAAGTAAATATTTTTAACTGCCATGAACTATTGTATTCTCTTTCCATTCTCTGTAACTCAATATGGGAAACCTGATTAACTCAATGGTGCTCATGTTCTAAATTAAGATAAGGTTGCTGCTGGGTTCCAGAGCCTGGCTAGGAGACAGATAGTTTTATACACTTTTTGTTTGAACCATTAAAAATTCACTGAAATACTACAAGCTAATGTTTAGAGTTTTGTCATTTTGTGTGGCAGCATTAAGCAGCAACCCTTAGCACATTTTTTAAGCCTACTGTGCATAACTTTAATGCTTAGCTCCTTATTCTAGGGTTTTGCCTCTTAGCCTGTATTTTATGGTTACAGCTTCATTTGGTGCACTGGAATCCTAAGTATAACACTTTTGGGGAAGCTCTGAAGCAACCTGATGGAATTGCTGTGATTGGTGTTTTTCTGAAGGTAAGGTTAAAACCAACCTTCCCCCTGTGACAAAACTTAGTTGCTTATGTTGCTGGTGTGAGTCAACAACTCTTGCTGCAGTTGTGAGTATGTGTTTTCTTCTTCTATATACGTGTCATTCTCCTTTCAATGGGTCAAGACATTTTTTGCTAAATCAGTTCCAAATGTTCTGCTCCTCTCTAAAAGTGCTCCTTTCACCCTGTTCCAGACCCCTTGAAACTTCTGGATTTTCTCTTGGGATGTGGATGTGCATAAAGAGAATTAGGGTCAGAGACCTCAAGGAAGTAAGATATGACGGCAGTTGAGTGTGAAGGTGGCCTGTGCTCATTAAGCTTTCCCACTACTCTGTTTCAATTGCTCTAGAAACCAGAAAAGCTGATGTTGGGAACGTCTGGGATGCCAAAGGCCTGGCCGATCATCCCCTGTACTTAAGGTGGCCACCACCCACATAATCCTGGGCTAAGACAGCACATGGAATGTGTGTGTTGTTCAGCCAGCCTTGGTTTACAGAGGATTTAGTGTCATTAACACACGAATTTGGTGGTAACATAATCTAGATTTTAAACCAGAGGTGAAAATCTGGCTTCTTTCTTTTTGAATGACCTAATTCGTTTTATGTTCTGAATTCACTGGATCATTTTCAGTTGCATGAAAACCGCAGCAGAAGGGGGAAGTGGGTTTCAGGGAAACACAATGAGTTTGGTTTTAGAGACAAAGTCCACTCTAGTTCTAACTCTGTTTAAGAAATGGGATGACTTTGCAGAGGTCAAGGACATTGAACTAGATCAGCATGTAATTTGTGGTTTTGTACGTCAGAGGCCTAGAGTCCAAGTTTAGAACAGAAAACATGCACTCTAAAATCTTGGGGGAAATTAAAATTATGTTTTTGTTTAGTAAGAGATATTCTGGCAAACGTATGAACACTAGTTGCATATAGATGAATCAAAATCAGTTTTAAGATGATGTTAAATTTTGGAGGAAGGAAAAATGTTATGCTGGATTTCTATTTTTCTTACAGATAGGACGAGAAAAAGGAGAGTTCCAACTTTTCCTGGATGCATTGGACAAAGTTAAGACAAAGGTAAAAGAAAATAATTTTTCTTCTTAAAACATCAGTCAGAGAACATTAATTTTCTCTGTCTGCATTATCAAAAACTATACATATTTTTTGCCTGAATTCTGTCACTAATTTTGATAGCTATGCTAATCACAAATATAAACAAATGACATTATATTTTTATGTTTTATAATTTTTGAAGCAATTTCATATATATATATATATATATATATATATATATATATATATATATATATTGGATTATTTCATTGCCTCCTGTCAGAGATACTCTCTCAAGACAGTGGGTGAGAGTCAAAAGTGAAATCTCTGGACTCAAAGACTGGAGAAGTCACCTTTTTGTCTCCTCTCCCTATCTACCTTCATACATACTCACAGAGGTTTTAAATGCCAGGCAAAACTGATGTTTTCAATCCTGGCATGACACTTTCCAGCAACATCTATCTATTTTAAATCTTAAGGGTTGACTCTTCCAGTTAGCAGCCACATTTTAGTTGTCTTTAACACTATCCTAATTAGTTGCTATAATTTTTACCGCTAGAAAAAGTAGTTATTCTAATACAGCATTCAATAAAAATGCAAGCCTTTTTAGCTCATCATCAAGAACTAAAGCATTAATATATACCAAGTGCTTTGTTACATTTTAGATATAGGATGACTTTTCTCCTCATAAAAAACGGTAGAATTATAGTTCTATCCGTAGTTAAAATAGTAAGACATAAAACATGGCAATGATTTTGCCAGATACAGCTGTAATATGCAGTCAGCTTCGGGCTTAACCTCTATTTCCGAATGGCCAGAACCTTGTTAGAAACCGTTGACTCTATTGCATTTCACATCTGTTCTCACAAGTAAAGTGGGGACCCTTGTGGGGTGCGCGGCGGGCTGGTCCCACGTGCGGTGCCCGCAGCTGGCTGTCTTCTAGGGCAAGGAGGCGCCCTTCACACACTTCGACCCGTCCTGCCTGTTTCCTGCCTGCCGGGACTACTGGACCTACCGCGGCTCCTTCACCACGCCCCCGTGCGAGGAGTGCATCGTGTGGCTGCTGCTGAAGGAGCCCCTGACCGTCAGCTCGGACCAGGTGAGCAGCAGCCCGGGGCCTCGCGAGCGCAGGCTTAGAAAAGCCTGAAAGTCTGCAAATCCACAGCTGCTAAATGGATGCTTGTCCAACAGCTCCTCCTGGAGATCACAGAATCTGCTCTGGCTCCTTGTAATCAGCCTGTTCCGTTTGCAGAATTTCGGCTTCCCCAGGTTACCAGGGTGAATGCAAATTGCTGAAAAGTTGAACAGTGACCGGGTGCAAGCCACCCGTAAGGGGTTAGATTAACAGGGCCCACGCTTTGTTCTTTTGGACATCCCTGGAGTAGCCCTGAAATCCAGACCTGGGAAGAGAAGGGAATTGGACTGTGAAGAGCATTTTACTTTTTCAGTTTTAAAGATTAACCAGGCGAACGCAGAAAGTGAAAGTAACTTACCCAGTACACACACAGTGCCACGTGCAAGAGCCTAACCCCACCTCTGGGCTGCCTGGTTGCCACAGTTGAGGGTCTTTGTTTCTCCTGTTCCTTTTTCTTTCCTCCTCCTGCTTGCCAGGCAGGCTTTGTGCCACTGAGCTATATCCCCAGCCGCCTCTTCCTGTTCATTTAGAGACTGTCTTAGCAATACAGTTTACAAGAAAAAGCTCTCTGGGGTGACTAAGTAAGCAGGAACATGAAGAAGACCATATGTAAGCAAGTAAGCCACACAGGGGCGCGTTAATGAGAACATGAATCTCTCACGGTAAAATCAGTTTCCCACTCGGACACCCTGGCCTAAGATAGCCGCTTTCCTGTTTCTGACAGTCTAGACTCAAGAATATGAATTGGCATTTTTATCAAGGAAACAGATCTAATGGTTTTCATCAGTGTTATAAATACTTTGAAAAATGAATGATTTTTTTCTCATGGAGAAAAGCTAAAAAACAATTTATGAAATATAATATTCTTTTACAAATTTTTGTCTTTTAAGGAAAAAATCAGTTTAAAATTTAAAATGTAGCGTGGTATATGTCTTTCTCCTTTTTAAAAATTGACTCCATAAACACAATGAAGGCCTATTATCTCTTTCAATGTAAAGTGTGCACTTTATATCCAGTCCCTCAAATAAATAATAATTGTTGGGGAATTTAGGAAGCAAAAGGCTTGACTAGAAGGTATATGAAATATGAAGTGGGAACTAGAGAGAGTGCTTTTACAAGTTAAAAAAAACCACATACATACTCCTCAAGAAGTGGCAGCTGAGTAACCCGGGACCAAACACTGGAGACCAGCTTTGTGCCGTGGTTTCCTTGTCCCGTTTGCAAAGCCTGTGATTTCTGGCCCTTGTCACACGGTGTGTCCAGCAGGAGCCAGCCCCTTGCTAACCTGCGGTCCTGTCCCCTGCAGATGGCCAAGCTGCGCAGCATCTTCGCCAGCGCCGAGAACGAGCCCCCGGTGCCTCTGGTGGGGAACTGGCGCCCCCCGCAGCCGCTCAAGGGCAGGGTGGTGAGAGCCTCCTTCAAATGAGGTGGCAGGGTCTCGGCCTGTTCAGGAAAGGAAACCTGCCATCACCCGAGAGCGGTTCCTGCCCCGTCTGGTGCTCCTTACTCCACAGCTCTCCACCTTTCCAGCGAGGAAGGCATGCAAGAGATGCAGTCGCCAAGAAACCAGGTCCTTTTGACAAGATGTAGTACAAAAAACGTGAATTTCACATCTGACCTTTGTGACAAGTCTTTTCTATAAAAGTAGTATTTCCGGTAGGCTTTCAAAGAAGAAGAAATGGAGACCGAAGAGTGAAGATGTAGGAAAATGGCAATTGAGCACCATTTTTCTGTCACCTTAAATTCACAGAACCTTCCTGTGTTCATATTATGAATTTCCGCCTTACAGAAAAAATGAATGATTTTCTCTGTAGGAGTAGAAGTGATGGTTCTATAACTAAGCAAGAAATTAAACTGATTGTGGATGCTGAGAATTGAAATGAGAATGCGTTTTACCTTTTAACACCAGGGGGCGTGTTATTTATTAAACTTTAGCTCTGATTAAAGTTACCTGGTTTTGGTTATTCATGAAAGGAAAACACAGTAAGACCAAAATTTTGGAAATGTTTGATCCAGTATTTGAATTTCTTCTTCATAAAGACGGTTTTCTTTACCTGAAGCAGGGCCATTTATTTTTTATTTCACTACTTTTATCTTTGCATGCTTATTAAAATAAAAACTGTCTGATGTCTTTTGAATTCAAGGCTGGAATTAACGGTTCCTAGAATACCAGGAAGTGATTGGTGGCACCTGAAGTAAAAATACTGTCCTGAAAGATCACCAAATAAAGACATGGATGCAAAAAGTGGGGCTGTTTTTTTTTTTGAATGAAAAAGCATTATGAATCACAAAATGACTTAAAGCTATTGAAGGGCAACTTTATAAGCTGGTTTTTATAAAGGAAGGGTAGAGATGAAAGATTCCCATTCTGAGTCTACGTGCTATATTCCTCCAGGCAATTAGTGAGGGCCATCCAACAAAACTGTAGACAAGAAGAACACGTGCCTGTATATCTCAGAGACCAAAACAGTTCCCAGACGTCTCACAGTTGGTTAGAATTCTGGCGTTCAGGCCAGTGCAGTGGGTGTGGAATCAAGTGAGACTGCAGATTCTGAGGCAGTTTCTAAATTCTGTGTTTGAAGATGACAGTGGCCTAACAGTGCAAAGGCTTATATATTTGGACTTTTAAGACATCTAATATCTTTAGACATAAAGTCTAATTTTGTGGTTAGTGGCTTTGATCATCTTTTAGTGCTTTACTGGCTAAACTGCTGACTACTTTAGAAAAATTATTAATGTAAAGAGTGAAAGCAGGATGGGGTCAGAGAGCCCTGAAGTGCTGGAAGTCAGGTCATGTGATGGACTCCTATGAGGCTAAAGTTATTTAATAAATTGCCACTTGGGTGAGGTAAAACCAGGTTGGTCAGTGTGAAGTGGTTATGTTAATTAAATCCCTTGAAATTAAGAGGTGTGGCGCTTTGATCATTAGTGGTAATACACAAGCTGATTCTCTGAGTACTTAGCAATGCTTGGTGTACTGTAAAAAATGTACACCGCACTCACCATCCGTGAGGCAAGAACAAATGCCCTCGGGTCAGTTACAAGTACTTTTTATGAAATAACACAGGCCTGGCAGGCTGGAGTAGTTTTAAGGGAAAAAACTGGGTCAAAGGACACTGTGGCCCTCAACTGCAAGCTCTGTGATGGCAAAAATATGAGTCTTACACACTGACATTCATCTTATTCCCTGGCACACAATAAGTGCTCAATAAATAATTGAGTAAATGATGTCATAAATAAAGGGAGAAAAGACCAAAAATCACCTTCTCCAACCACAAGTTACTCTCATCTATAACACCAGTCTTTGCTCATTTGCTCATTGTAGGGAGTTTGATCTCCTTGGAAATGACTAGCTTTGGGTGGAAGTTTTTTCCAGTAGGCCATATTTTTCCCCCAATCTTCCTGTGCTCATAATTATCATAATTTAAAACTTCTTCCCTACTGCTCCCAGCCCTCAGAATGCTACATCGTAAGAGATCCCACTGGAAGGCTGAGGACATTCTGTGTGACTATTTTGAGGGGGATGGTTTTCCTGGTCAGGAACAGGCACTTAAGGCACCCACAGCCTACAAAAGGCCATGGCCAGGAACTGCTGCAGTGAATGTGTTCCACGATTTGCGGAGATTCATTTCTTCCTCAGGGCACAGTCCACGATGACTGCTAGAACCTAGACATTTCAAAGTAGGGCAGAAACAAATTTGAATGCAGTGCTTCATAATATTCAGATGAGCATATCCCTGAAAGCCTATGAATTGGGCATGAATTTATTGATTATAAGATACTATTTTACTTTGAGGACAGAAATATAATCCCTACCACTTTAAGTGGAGGTGATACATTTATAAAAAGGCAAATAATTCAGGACCTTTGATGAAAAAATTTTAAAATGCACAGTCAGTGAAATTTTATGCAGATGGATAGGAAGCAGTTTACACAAAGTATGAAATAACTAAGTTTTTAATGTCTTGTAACCATTTATATGTTAAATAAATATATTGAGGTTAACTACAAACAAGTTTGGATACATGTGAAAAATTATTGTCAATTATCCTAATAAAAATTGACACAAATAAAGCTGATCTAAAATAGATACATGTGATTAAAAACACTAAATATGACAGCAACTGAAGGTGAGTTATTACAGAGTCCACCAAAAAAATATGTACATACTTTAGCAGCTTGCAGTACTGTGTCTGGAAGCTGATGGCCACCACTTTGAGTACCTCTTGTAATTATAGAGACTAAAGTAACTTGTGTTTATCTTATAGTATCTCAATAAATTTAGTATTAAAATATTCATACTAATATTTCTTTTCCTGGGATGTATAAGACTCTTTTCTAACACTTTCTTGATTGTTATGGAAAAGGAACTGTAGACATGAAAATAGTAATTAGCATAGGAAGAACAAACAAGAAAGTGTGAGAAAAATTATAACTGTGTGTTATTTTAAAACTTTAATGAATGCAAATTTAATTTTGAACAAACTACTCATAAGGTACTAAATCTAAATGTCAAGCCACGATCAAGTTTGCATGTTATTTTTCATTTCGGTCACTAGAGGGCAGCAAGACATTGTAAAGTTTCAAATGGGTCACTAGGTGGCAGCAGAATAATTAGAAAAATGAGATGAAAAACCACGCTGTTTATTCATGGTAATTTTAGAGCAAAGCATTAAAAATAAACTCAACTTTTTCAACTGACATCTTATTTTCTCTTCTCAAAGTTTTACTGTTACCCACTGCATCTACAAAGGAAAAGATAGTAAATTCTTACGTATTTTTGAAAATCCTAATGATCAAAGAGGCCCAGGGGACAGAATAGTAGGCATTAAAGCAAAATTAAATAAATGAGAAGTGAACTTTAAAAAATGCTCTTCAGTATTCAGAAATACTGGCTGGTGCCACACAGCACTGGGTGGATACGAGGCCTCAGGCACAGTAATTTTTAGGAGTCTGTCTCCTACCTGGTAACAGGAATGATAATAGTGCCCCAAAAGAGTATTATTTTAAGAATTAAATGAGCTGTAGTTACAAACATTTATACTAATCATTCTGACATAATCCTCAAAAGGAGTTAACTTTTATCTTTTGTAAATTAATTTTACTTAAACTCAGAAAATCTTTAATGCCTTATTTCCCTATCTAAAATTGTTTTTTTCTTTATATGTTTGCTTGAAACCTCATGAATCTATCATCTATTCAGATTGTATTAAAAGAGGTACTATAATGAGCTCACATCTGCTTGTTACTGGAGGACATTAGTATTTAAAAACAGTGGTGGCAAGTCTTGTCTCAGACATGCACTAAGAAAATTAAAATGTGGTCACATGGAACCAGCACAGTTCGAAGAGGTGATTTGGAAGAACAGAGATGGTTTTCTGACGAAGCTTCTGTCCCAGGATCTCTGCACCTGACCTGAGGAACTACCCAATTAACAAAATATCCAGAAATAAACCTAAAAGAGGAGGTAGGAAAAACACAGCATTCATTTTGTTCACTGTGGACTTCAGGTCTAGATGAAGCAGAGTCCCTTGGATGTTGCATGAAGTGGAAAATCTACCTCAATAGATAAATACAGAAAGTCTCTTGCTATTAAATTAATTTTGAGCATGCCTGGGCATGTCATAAGGTCAGAATGCTGAATAATATGCACAAGTCACATCTGGGAGAAGCGTTTATACTTTTGGGGTGATTCAATTCCAACAGAACCAGAGGAATAAGGCAGCCTAGACATAAAGTCTATGATTAAGCGACGGGCTGGAGAGGTAAAGAGCTGCTGTTAATGTGAAGGTGTTCAGTAGATGCAGCCACAAGACAACTTGACCAGGTAGATAATCACAGGTAATCAGCAGGAGCAGCAGCAAGTCTAACGCTGCAGTCACAGGGGACCAGGTGACTGCAGCGGCGTAAAACCTAGTGATTTAAAAGCTAATTTTAGCCAGGTGAGAGTCAACTCCGTGCAGTAAACAGGGAATCCGATTCCCCCTTGTATCTAAATCATTCCCAGGTAGAGGAGCCTGAAACATCAAGGAGACTATTTTGATCATTAAATGTACCTGTCCCTGTTCCAACTTGCCCCTAAATTTCTGTCATACTCCTGCAATTCATTTGCAATGTGGATGGCTCCAAACACACTTGTTCCAGAGAAGGATTCCCTAAAGGACTCCAACTCCCATGAAAGCATAAGGCAAATGAAAGTGTTTGAAAGTATGAGGCTCACAGAATTCTGTGCTCCACTGTGTACTGATCAGTGTAAAGGAACATCTAATGCCATGAAAGGAATGGAATGTGTCGAGAGTCTGAAAGGGGGCCTTCCAGGAGTGGTTAGCGTGCAACCCAGCAGAGCAGATGTAACAGCAACAGCAGGGCCCACTGAAAGGCTATAGCTACATCAATATATGAACTTGAGTTCTTGCTCTGGTTACCACTTTAGGAGTTAAGAATGATTTAAAATTCTAATGGAAGGTGTGTGTGTGTGTGTGTGTGTGTGTGTGTGTGTGTGTGTGACAGACAGAGACAGAAACCGAGACAGAGAGACAAGAAAGATATGCATTGTAAAAGCAGTAAAATTTTGCTTTTATTTTCTATTAGTACATTGCTACATTTCTTGTGGGCAGCTGATACATGCACGTAACACATTTTAATTCATTTTTATCCCTTTCCTTTTCTCTCTCTCTTCTGTCCCCTCATCTCTTCTCTTCTTATTTGAAACAAGTACAGTTTTATCAAAATAAGGACTTTCTGCCCTTATTTTTTCTTCTGAGGCCCTGAGGCCTAATAGAACTGAACCCCGTCAGAGGTCAAAGGTATTTACTGCGTGGATGAAGGAGTGAATGGTGAAATGGGACTCCCAAAGTATCAAATGCCAGTCTAGGCTGATGAACTGGTGGGAGCTGGATCTTCCTTCCAGGAAGGTCAGAGGCTGACATCTCAAAGAGTTTCAGGAAGTGTGTGCAGACATCTGTTTCTGCAGTCCATATCCTGTGG